TTTTTTTTTTTTTTTTTTTGCTTTATGGCTACAGTTAGAAACAGATAAAATTTTCAGACTGTGAAATTTAACACGTGAGATACTTACATCAGAACTGTTAATAAACTGTAGTTTTTTCAATGTCTCTGTATCAAAATTTCTTTTCTTGTAACAATTTATAAGCACTTGACCTACTTCAATGCGAGCGATCTTTAAGCCAGGTCTAAATGAGCTGGTTGTTTTAAAGTATTCTTTCATCTTCTTTTCTGCCAGTTCCGCGGCAATTGTGGTATCAAAAATGGACCTTTTGAATGTTTGAAATTTTAAAACCTTCGCAGCTTTATCAGCCATTTCAGGCCAAAATTTAGTAAAAAATTGGTTTTTTTTTTTGAATCAAATGAGAACTGTTCAAGATTATAGCAAAATTACAGCAATTTCAGCTACTTCTTTTGAGCACTTTAATACAGCAACGCTAAAATAACGATAGAAAAGAGGCGTATAAATATTCTGCATCGTCACAGGGCAATAAACGAAGAAAATAATCGATTTATAACCGTATCAGGCTAAAAAACGTGAAAAGCCAGTAAAGTAGCGAAAATTTGAGCATTTTGAATAGTTTTTCAGTAGGGTATTTGAAAAAAAGTAGATTTCAAAGCAGACGCTGTTCTAATTTAAAGTCTTCTTCTTTTTTGACTATACCATCTTCGTTACTGACCTCTATTCTCTTATACAAGCTTTGTATGCAAAAAACTTATATTAAAAAATTAAACTATTTATAGATGTGAAGACTTTTTGCGGTTTTTTTATCTACTTAACAGCAGTAAGTAAATGTCAGACAAACATGCATTGACCGCAGGCAAGCTTTTCTGGTCAGTTCGCAATACAGAGTGTATTGAACCGCAGATCACGTACAGATCATCCTCGCCGTTCCATCGTAAACGTTTAAAACGTCACAGCTTTTGTCACTTCTTGCATATAATACACAAATTATAACTTTTCTGATGTGTCTCTTTCTTTAAACATTTAAAGCTTTTTAATACGTTTGTAAAAACCAGAAGATGCATTTACCACTGATAACAGCATTTCTTTTGAGTTCTTCACGTCTACACAGTTCATCCTACGTTTATTGCTAAGTTTCTGCATCATCTTCTATTGCAGAGATTCAAAAAGCAATGGCAGGCAATAGATTGACGTATCAAACAAATTAAGCAGAATGACAAAAGAAAACAATGTATTTTGAAAAGTTGAGTAATAAATTATTACTTAAGACCTGAAAGTAAGAATAAAGTTGACAAAAATTCAAGCAAACAGTCAAAAAATCTACAAAGTTTTTAGTATGTTGAGAAAAGACAATAAACATTACCTGATACCACCTCCAGAAGTGCATTTGATTTTACCAAGCTTAGTTGTTGTCCACCAACCAGCTTCACAAGTTTTGTGCTTTGGAGAAAGCTTACAAGGAACTAAAAAACGTCACTTGCAGGCTCCCTCTCTGTGCCAATTAGTAAAAACAAATTCTATGTGACATTTACCAAGCTGTGTCATCAAATACAGTTAATCGACAGCTACTTTTAATGCTAATTAGCTGTCTAATATTTCTGTTTTATGTGCTTGGTGAACTGTATCTTTTTGTGCTTATCAATTTTTTCTCAATTTTTTTGATTTTTTTAATTTTTCACTAATACTAGGTTTTACCATAAACATATTTTTAAGAAATTTCATCAAAATCAAAACATTTTTTAGTTAGAACTGCAAACTGTACCTGAAATCTGGCTTTCAAAAAAACGTTTTTTTTTTTTTATTTTGAATTAGGCAAGAAGCGAAGATTCAGCCATAACAAATAGTTATATGTTACTCTGAGGGGGTGTTAGGGGGGGTGTTACTCTGAGGTTACTCTGAGGTGTTACTCTGAGCTCAAGGGTGTTACTCTGAGGTCGATTTTACTATTTTATTTATGTTTTTATATTGTCACTAGAAAACTAGCTCAGGTGCATAGTTTTACTAAAATGCACAGAAATTGTTTATCTTGGTGTTTTTTGAATGACTTTTTTACTGACAATATCTCGTTTTAGTTGTTTGCCGTGTAAAGCTGAAAATTCTGGTATACTGAAAAATTTCAAATCAAATCTCTTTTTGAATTTTTGTTCTTTATACTCGTCAGATATGCTACTATAAAGTCGTTAAAGAGGCATAAAACCTGCAAAAAACACGTCTTTCAAACTAAATTTAACAAATTTCAACTACAACCTATAAAAATAAAGCTTTCAAAGCAAGCATTAAAGCACAAAAACCAGAAAATTTTAATATTTTTTCAAAGAACAACTTTTCGAAAAAATCACATTTATTTAGCCAATCTACATATCGGCTTTAACTGGGTGACTACATTTGCTCTTTGCTGAAGTTTAAAGATAACTTTCAGATATAAACAAAAAAAGCGAGGCAATCTGATATTAAATTATTCACCCAGAAGTATTTAAAATTTAATTTTTTTAAAATTATTTTGCGACAGAGAAGAAGACCTATCTAAGTATTTTGTTTGACTAGATCAAACAGGTTATTTTTCTTTATATTAAGTTTGTAGCAATATTTACGCATTAATAGTTCTATGCTGTAACATGTACCATTTCTGTTCAGAAATGCAAATTTTTGTACCAAAAGTTGTCTAACTCACAGCCCACAATTTGAACAAAAACAATTATTTAACGTGGTGTAATATCACAATAATAAATGGCTATAGTGAATCAAGTTATTTATAAAAAAAAACCGTTCACAGTTGTCGCAAAAGTTTAAACATAAAGTTTAGGGGTTTTGGGAGTTAAGCTTGTGGTAGTAAAGAACATCCTCGACTATTCCAAGAACGCTTTCTTCACAATTTTTCATATATTCCTCCTTTTTGTTTGGATACTTTTCCTCTATCTGCACAGCAGATAGTGGACCAAATACTGTCACAATAATTATCATTGAAAACGGTAAACTTCGAAACATCGACTTTTTCAGCTAAAAGCGTGCACTTATTAGAACGCTTATGCAGCGAATTTTTCATACACTGTTTTTAGAAAAACTATTTGATTGGTTTATCTATTATAACTACTTTGATGCGTGAGCAGCCGGTAATATAGACCAAAACCTTTTATTTCTGCAGTAATTTACTCTAGCATCTGGTAAAGTAAATACCGTTTGAATTTTGGACACCGCTTTTCGTGAAAAATTTTTTCAAATTGTCTAAAAGAAACT